ATGAGTCTTCCATGTCTCTCACTGAATGAAGAACTCTCGGGAATTCTGGACAGAAGCTCCTTAAGCTGAGGAGGGATCTTTACAAGGCTAATCTGAATTGTCTTTCTGCGAACAGTTTCCATGTCCTATAAAACAAGAACAAAGATGAAGATTCGAAACCCTTGAAATGGTTAGTCAATGCTCATGATGTTTGTATGATGTAATGATGTGATGATTAAATGCACTATAAACATTCACAAAAGCAAATATGGTAAGGCACACAAGTCACACAAACCCTTAGAGTTTAGGCCTGCATGAAGTTTGGGTGTTACCCTCTTGAAGTTTTGTGGGCTCAACCTGTCTTATCAAAAGTAACCGGGTTCTAAAGATCCCAATATCACTGGATTGCTTTCATTGTTCATCGTTTCGATTTAGCCACTGAACTGGAGACCGAAATATTCCAGGAAAGCAACCCTCAATTGAGTGTAGTATCGAGTATCAACCAACCTCGGACTGCACCAAAGTCAGTTATCTCACTACCCTAAAAAGGCCAAGATGGTTCAATTAGGGTTCCTAAGGTTAGTTGATGCTTCATGACACCACGCGGTGGCCCCGTACTCTCCTTGACTGAACTCAAGGGTTACCGGTACACACCAAAGTGCCACATCAACGTAGCAGACTGCTTCAACCATGTCGGTATACCCCGCACAGTTCCCTCACAGCCTTGTTGCTACCTAAAAGGGTTTCCCCAGATCCGGGTTAGGATCCATAAAACTCCGATACAAAGCCCACAATATGTAAAAAGCAAACAAAGCAAGCAATTGAAAACAAAGGTGATCTAAACCCTAAGGTTACTCCACTTTAAAAGTTTTCCCCAGCAGAGTCGCCAGTTCTGTGATACGGTGGGAGAACTGACTTGAGGTTTGCGTTTGTATTCGCAAATGTTGCGGTTAGCAAGAGTCGCCACCGACTTTTATTTTATCCTAAGGAAAGGTTAAAAAGCACAGCAAAAACCTTTTGAGATGTTTTCTTGAGTTCGGGGAGTAGATTATAGAAAGGGAAGGTATTAGCACCCTTTCTATCCATGGTTATCCATGGGCTCTTAGTTACTTGCTTAGATCACTTGCCTTTTGTTTTCAATTGTTTTAAATGGTGCTTGAGTGTGTGGGTTTTGAAAATGTTTTGAAAAGAGGCCAATGTGGTGGCAACCTTTGCAATGATCCATGTGGGGATGTATACAAAGATGTATGTCTTTTGAAAAGGTTCTCATTTGTTTTTTTGAAAGTTGTTTTGAAAGTGTAGTGAAGTGTGGTTTGAAAAATAGGCAAGTGTTTTGTTTTGCAAGTTGGTTCAAGTAACTAAGAGGTTATCTACTCCTAAATTTCTCAAAAGATTATTGCTATACTTTAACCCTTTTAACAAGTTTGCACCATCATTGTATTTGGTGGGCAACCTTGTGTTAGGATGTGAAAGGGACAGGCGCGGGTCATCGTTTAAACCACAATTGTAACGGCGTTAAATGTCTTTGGGCAATTTTCTTTAAGGGACTTGATCATGTGTTTGTTTTTGAAAAGTTTTATCGAGGGACTATGATCATTCAAATTGTCTGCTTTGCCCAAAGAAGTTCAACATACAATATGGTCCATTTATTTGAAGGCAACAAAGTGGAGTACCCTAGGGGTGTTGGTGTGTAAGTGTGTTTTATTGCATACAAGAGTTTTTCTTTGAATTAGGTTTTTCTATTTCATTGATTTTATCTTGCCATACACGTCCTAATTACTAGCAATAAGAAGCGGAAATGTAAAATCCTACGCTATTACAATAATTAGGGGAGAGGGATACATATTTGTACATGGGGGGTTCAACGAGAAAAATAGACAAAAAAGAAAATAGCGGAAAACAAGATATATGGAGAGAGAGAGGGAGCCCGCGCGCTGTTGGGAGGCCATCAGAAGTTCTGACCCAGATCCGCTGTCAGATGATCAACCTGTTGGTGAAACTGGATGAGTCAGAACTTCTGACTCTGGAACCTGCAAAACAGAATCTGGTTAGTGGGGAAACCAGAGGTTCTGATTTCCCTGCGCTGCAAGACAGAAGTTTGTTAGTGGAGAACCCAGAAGTTCCGATTCTGCTGAAAAGGCAATAACTCTCAGAGGTTCTGAGGTCATTGACAGCAAAACAGGCTTCAGATGTGCTAACGTCAAAGTCAGCGCTGGGCTTTTTCCTGCACTAATCAGAACATCTGCAATCCTGTTGTTACTCCACAAAACAGAAAACATATTTGGAACAGATCCAGCAAAATAGCAAAATGTCCCAGAGGTCAGAATCACCAAGGTCACAGGCAAATCCTAAACTGGCTCAGAATGTTCTGAGGTATGAGGGTCCTCAGAACATAAACAGCAATAACATGAATATTTACATTATGTTACTTGAATATGTACAGCTGATGATGCTTAACAGTGTGGTGAGGGTCAGCAGGTGCTTACATGACTTTCTGGAAAATGGTGGGTGAAAGTTAGCTTTTGGTTCTGGTGGTGTTCTGGACAGATTTGGAAAAGGGGAAGTGAAGGTGTAAACGTGTATAGGGTCAGAAGTTTTGGAAAGAACGTTTTGGTTTACAGAAAAGAGCTGGGCGTTTGATGAAGTTGAAGGTGAGAAACTTAAAGTTATGAAACAAAACTGGAAATTTTGGCAGAGTTTCAGAATGTTATGTTGCTAGGAGTTTTGTTTCTCTCTTAGTAATTTTCTGTTTTTTTTTTGAACTTCTTGAACGTCTTTTGCAGTGGTGAAAGCTTTCTATTTATAGGCAAAGTTCTTGTGGATACCTTGAACATTTAAGGCGCCAACAGAGTTTGAACTGGTTCTTTGACAGAAATTCCTGGGAAGTTGTGATAACAGCTATTTTTTTTAGCCTAGGTAGCAGCAGCAGGCGTAGATTGGGGGAAGTGACCTCTGAAATGGGCGGTGGCGTGAAGACCCATGCCAGAATCTGTGCAAAAGCATTTTCCAAGCCACACGTGATCGCTCAGGAGTGGTTGGAAGCATTAATGGGCATTAAATGGTGACAAGACCTGTCAATACCAACATTCTGGTTGTTGCATCAGCAGTGTAAACCATGCTCTGGCCTTGGCTACCTGTTGTTTTAGCAAACTCTGGAGATTCTCCTGGTTTTCTGGTACGTTCCTTGGATCTACTTCTGGATAATCTGGGCTTGGAGATTCTATATCAATGTGACACCTATCCCTCTGACCTTTCATCTTCTGACTTCAACCTGTTCTGAATGAGCCTTTATACTTTCATATTTCTTTTGCATTCCTTTAGCAAGTTCTGACTGAGCTTGTGTAACTGCTGAAGGGGTATGTTCTGTTTGAGGCTTACACTCTGAACCACGTTTACAACTTCTGATTGACCTGATGTAGCTGCTGAAGAGACAACTTCTGACCATCCTGAACCAAACTTGCAACTTCTGACCGTCTTCATCTGGAATGGGTCCAGAAGTTCTGAAGCGCTGATTTTTTCTAAAAAACACTTATTTTAAAGAAACATTCTAAGCACTTAGAATTTGATTTTCCTCAAGATGAAAGCATTGTTTTTGGAGTTTGTGAGATCATCTTGCTCTTGTAAGTGACTGGCTTGGGCAAAAGGATAACCCAGGGCTTTGAATCTGTTTCAGGGGACTTTTGAAAAATCTAAGATGGTTTCCTGAAGAAAGGGAGGGCAAATTTTGGGGTACAACAAAGATGAATGGAGATTTGACTGGAGAAGAAAAAAAGGAGTCTAACGTGTGAGACTCTAAATGTCTGGCAGAAGAAAATGAAACGCTTCAACTTTTTTAGGGTCTAATATTTACATTTCTCTCTCTTAATAAATACATGAATATTTATTTATTTATTTTTATAAATAAACATAAAGGAAATGACTAAAAAACCTAATCTAAAATATATATATTAAATTAACTATATTAAAATAATAGGCGGGGCGGGGTCCCCGCGGGGCGGGGGTGTATTCCCCGTCCCCGTCCCCGAAATGCTCTCGGGGGAATTTTTCTCCCCATCCCCGCCCCCACGGGGGAAAATTCCCCATTTTTGGGGCCCCGAACGGGGCGTTCCCCGCGGGGATCCCCATTAACAGGTCCAAACTGACATCCCTAGTTTGGCTGTAGGTTATGGACAGCAGAAACAGGTAGCATAAAAAGCATACATGTGATACGGAATGGAAAACAAACTTGTATCCTTCATTAAACTCGGGACATAAAAAAAATCAGTAACGTAAAAAAACTTATTTCAGTTTTTTATTTATTAATTTAATCATATTAGACTCAATTTTTTGGATTGGACCGTTTCAATTTCATAATAATTTAAAGTTAAACTCAAGACATCTTCGTATGAGAAACTTAGTTGTCCCTTAATTAGTAAGTTACGTTTCTTAACTTCTTTTTATCAATGGAGTGTCTCTCCATGGCGTATCACATTGCTTAGAACTAAGATGAAGCTTCAATAAGCAATCTCAAGTTATGAGTACTTAACGTTTAAAAGCAACATTATATTATTCGATTTCAAAAATAAATGAAAAATTGTGATGAAAAAAAAAAAGAGTGGGTAAAATAAAAAAAAAGGTTTAATTGTAACTTTGATCTCCTATTTTATTTTTCTGTTTTGTTTTGATTCTACATTTTAGTCCTTTTTTAAAATTTGTGTTGGATTTTAGTCCCTCTCTAATTTGAAACTTATTTTAATGATGTGATTTTATTTATGATGACGTGTCATTTACTCTTTGCTCAAATATATCTTCACGTCATTTTTTTTTCATTTAAAAATAAATTATTTTGTTAAATTTAATAATTCAATTATCTATTCTATTTTAATGAATAATCTAATTAAAAATCACAGGAAGCAAAACATTAAGGAAATTCTCTAGACACCATATCCCTCTCTCATAGTTCATAATACGAAGATGAACCCTAAGTAGTTGTTTTCTGAAATCGCCATTGCAAATATACTCATTGATCGCTCATCTCTGAAATGGTAAATCCAACTTACATTTCGAGGTATGTATGACCGCTCATCTCTGAAATGATCTTGCTTAGGGTTTAAGGCTATAATGATTCTGAAATCTGATTTTGCTCAGGGTTGTTGCATCCACCTCATTTTGAACATTTGTTTATGTTTGTGATTTGTTAATGTTGTGGTCTCTGATTTGTTCATTTTAGAATGTCATTCTCGTTAATACTATATTGGGCGTTTAAGTTGATCAGATTCATTTAAGTTGCAAGTTTAAGGTTACAGTGATTCTAAAATGTGATTTTGCTTAGGGTTATTATATCCATCACTTATTCTTAATATTTGTTGTGTTTGTGATTTGTTAATGTTGTGGTCCCTGAATTTGTTTATTTTGAAAGGTCTCTGATTTATTAATATGGTGGTCCCTTATAGGTTTTGGGTTATGTGATTTGTATATGTTGTGTTCCCCGAAGTGTTATGGTGGTCCCTGTTTTATTAATGTTGTGGTCTCTAAATTGATAATATTTGTGATTTATTTATGTTATGTTATAGACCATCTGATACTCAAGTTGTCAGACTTAGAGTACACCATCAGGGACATTTAGTACATAATTCAGTGAAGTTGTATGTTGATGGGCTTGTTTCTAAAATGCACTGGGATTGGGATGTGGACTTAATGTCTTATATGCAAATTGAAGAATTGATTAAAGATGAGGGATATTGTAATATAAAGTGTTTTTGGTATTGGAATCCTAACTTTTTTTTCTTGCGGACTTTAGCCTTTGAATAATGACAACGATGTGTTAAGGTTCATGGAAGATGTTAGAGGATTTAAAGTTATTGGAGTCTATGTTGAACACAAAGTTGAAGAAGTTAATATTGAAGATGTTATTTTTGAGGAGGTTAATGGTGAAGATGAAAATGTTAATGGAGCAAATGCAGAAGAAAATGCCGAGGGAGAAAATGAAGAAGCAAACGTTGAAGGAGCAAATGAATGAGTAAATCAAGAAGCAAAGGAAAAAGCAAATGAAGAAGCAAATGTTGAAGATTCAAATGAAGAGAGTGAAACATATCCTGATTATAAAATGAGCAGTGAGGATGACGAGGAAGATGACAAAGATGACATTGATGAGTTGAACTTAGGTCCTAATGTTGGTGTTGATGGGACGCCAAATCTCCCTAAGGCTACAACAGAACAACCTTCAAGATTGAATGATATGTCTGATAATGATAGTTATGATTCATATGTGCTTCATATATACTCCACCTGATAGTGATGTTGAAGTTGATATGGAAAAGTTTCCAACTTTTAAGGAAACTACAAAACTTGAAGTAGAGATGATATTCAAAAATAAATTGCAAATCAAAGATGCCACAAAAGAGTATGCAATGGAGAACAAGAAGAATATTGTGTTCAAGTAAAATGATAAGAAAATAATGATTATTAAATGTATAAAAGGTTGTACATTTTATATTAGGTTTAGCATGATGGCTACCAACCAATTTTGGCAACTTGTTGTAATTGCAAGCTTCTCAAGTCATATTTAAAGCATGTGTTTTGATGAAGACAACATGGACATCAAGTTTCAAAGGATGTGCAAAAAGCTTATCAACATCAAATTAAAGTCTTGAAGATTATTGAAGAATTATTAAAGAAATCATCAAATGTCAATATGGTATAAATAATTCTTAAAACCTTGAATATAGATGTTCACAATATGCATTCATCAACATATACATATTCCATAACTTTAACATCAAGAAAAACTTTGTTTGAAATATCTTTCAAAATGTATTTTTGAAAATAAACCTTTAGGAACCGGTTCCTCCCTAACAGGGAACCGGGTTCCAGCTTTTCTCAAAAAACATGTCCCTGATTTTTGTACCAGGAACCGGGTTGTACCAATAGGGGAACTAGTTCCTGCGTGATAAATTTGAATTCCAACTTATAACATTCACTAAGAACCGGGTTCTGTCAGTGTCGGAACCGGTTCCTAGCGAACCAATGCAGCTTTTACTTTGTTTTTTGAACATTTTTCAAGTGGTGTCTTTTCATGAATGCATTACAACTTTTCATATGAATTGGCATGAATGAAGAGGTTCTTACAACTTTATAAAATGCAGATTTTTTCAGTTTTTAAAACTAGAACACATATAACATTTTCAAACAATAAATGTTCAATACTTCAATTTTCAAATTAACAAATATACTTCTTCATTAACAATTTTCTCTTTTACTCACATTTGAAGTTAAACTTTCATGTGTTCATAATTTTGTAAAACTTGCCATATACACTTTCATTATCATTTCAAGTTTCATACATACATTGTGAACATTTATATACATTGTTGAGAATTGTTTTTATCTTGAAGAAGAAGATCAATTGAAGATTGATAAAGCTCTCCATATACTTCAAAATTAATCATTGTATTACTTAAAGATTTTCCCTTACTATCCAGGATTGTTGGAAGTAAGTGTTGTGATTTGAAGAGGATTGTTCTTCATTCACATTAGTGTTTGTTTGGTCTTAAAGGTGTTAAGAACCTTTGATCACCCTATAGGTTAGATAGTAAGCATAGGCTGTACAATCATTCTAACTATAGTGAAATCTCTTTCGTGTTGGAAAGGGGACTGGAGTACTCTCGGATTGTGAGGGGAACCAGGATATATCACCGTGTTCTTTACTTTTCCGCATTTATCGCTTTCATCACCATAATCGAGAAAAGATAAAGATATAATCAAAACCTTCAAACACTTAACCAAAAATTACTACCAAGCATTCTCATAAAACCAAATAAATTTTTATAAGACCTAATTCACCCCCCCCCCCCCCTCTTAGGCACTCTGAGACTTACAATTGGTATCAGAGCAAGTTATAGGTAACTTGTTCCTAAAGATCCAGAATGGCTTCCGCAAATCATCAACCAGTCTTCAGAGATGGTGGTAGTAACAACAAGCCTCCTCTATTCTGTGGTGAATATTTTGACTTCTGGAAAATACGCATGAAGGCGCATTTAGAAGCACAAGGAGAGGAAGTATGGGATGCTGTTGAAAATGGTCCATTTATCCCAATATCAGTAATCAATGGCATTGGTTCTGTAAAACTCAAAACTGCATGGGACGACAATGATAAAAAGAAAGTTCTCTATGACAAAAAGGCAATAAACCTTCTTCAAGGTGCACTCAGTATGGACGAATTTTTCCGTGTCTCGAACTGCAAGACAGCAAAAGAAATATGGGATACCCTGGTTCAAACTCATGAAGGAACGGCTGAAGTAAAAAGATCAAGGCTAAATACCTTGAGTCAAGAATATAAACTATTTCGAATGCAGCCCGGAGAATCCATTCTTGACTTACAAAAGAGATTTGTGCATTTGATAAATCACTTAAATGCTCTTGGTAAAACCTTGACAAATGATGAACTCAACTTGAAAATCCTTAGATCATTGACTAGGGAATGGCAACCAAAGGTAACAGCAATCTCGGAAAAGAAGAGTCTCTCCGCAATGACTTCCGCTACATTATTTGGCAAACTTCAAGAATATGAAACGGAACTTGGTAGACTTGAAAAACATGAAAATTTAGAGAAGAAATCCAAAGGCATTGCCTTGAAAGTTGATTCAAAGGAAAGTCAAGATAAAGATGCATCGGAGGAAGATGAAAACTTCTTGCTTCTTGTAAAAAGGTTAGGAAAATATTTTGGTCATAAAAATAATCTTCATAATGCTAACTTTGTCAAGAGGAAGAAATTTTATAATCATAAAGATAAAGAAGCCTCCACATCAACACAAGATGTCACATGTTATGAATGTGGAAAGCAAGGTCACATAAAGCCGGATTGTCCAAAACTCTCCAAGAAAAATGGATTTAAAGGCAAAAAGGAGTTCAAGAACAAAAAGGCTTATGTTGCATGGGAAGATAATGAGATAAGTTCTTCATCCGATTCGGAAAGCGAGGAATGTGCAAATCTAGCATTAATGGCTTCACATCACTCCGACAATGAAGAAGAGGTTAGTAATGAATTTAATCTTTTTGATGATGATGTTCAAGATGCTATTGATGAACTCTTGAAAGAATGCAAAAGTTTATACAAAAAGGTGTCAAATCAAGAAAAAGAACTTCTAAGTTGTTTAGAAAAAATTGACACCATGACTAAAGATTTTGATCTTCAAAAACAGAATTTTATTAAAGAAAAATAAAAATTTGCATGCTCCAAGTGTGAATCAAATGTCTTTCAAATTGTTCAATTAAAAAGAGTCATTGAACGATATGAAAAAGGACAAATAGGATTGGAAGGATTACTAAGCCAACAACGTTATCCAAATGATAAAAGGGGTCTTGGTTATGTGAATTCTAAGAAACCAAGTAACAATCCCACTGTTTTTGTAAAGGCTAGTAATAGTTCCAATCCCAAGAAAGTAGAAAAGAAGCAAGTTGTTCATAATCATCAAAAGAAAAAGGCTAATGTATCGAAAAAGAAAACATTTCCTAAGAAGAAATCTTATCCTTCTAGATATAGAAGTAACTTTGAACCTACTTGTTTTTATTGTGGTATTAAAGGCCATACACCTAATGCTTGCTATGTTAGAAACTTTAGTATAGCAAGTGGGCATTATGTGTGGGTGAAAAAGGGAACTAACTATGAAGGACCCAAGGCAACTTGGGTACCTAACAAAGAATAATTTGTTTGTGTAGGTATGCTTGAAATCCACATCAAATGTTTGGTATCTTGATAGTGGATGTTCAAAGCATATGACATGAGAAGTACACCAATTTTCATATCTAGTACATAAAGCCAAAGGGTATGTCACCTATGGAGACAACACCAAAGGAAAGATTCTTGGCGTTGGAATAGTTGGCACACTTCCATCCATTAAAATTGAGGATGTTCTCTATATTGAAGGATTAAAGCACAATCTTCTTAGCATTAGTCAACTTTGCGATAGAGGGTTCAAGATCAAATTCAACAAGGATGAATGTCTCATTATGGATGAGGCAACCAATGAGGTAAAACTCAAAGGTATAAGAACTAACAATATTTTTATGATTACTTTAGATGATTTGTCTCTGAAGGTACAATGTCTTATGGTAAACAACAATGACGCTTGGTTATGGCACAAGAGGATCGCTCACATTCACATGGAGCACTTAAACAAATTGGTTAAGCATGACTTAGTTATTGGTCTACCAAAGATGAAGTTCATCAAGGTAAAATTATGTAACGCATGCCAAAAGGGCAAACATACCAAAACAACTTTCAAATCTAAGAATGTGGTGTCTACTACAAGACCACTATAATTGTTACACATGGATCTCTTTGGTCCATCAAGAACAAAAAGCTTCGGAGGTAATGCATACGCTTTAGTCATTATTGATGATTTTTCTAGATATTCTTGGACTTTGTTTCTTGTGCAGAAAAGTGATGCTTTTAAAGCCTTTAAGAAGTATGCTAAGCAAATTCAAAATGAAAAATCACTAAAGATTGTATCCATAAGAAGTGATCATGGTGGAGAATTCCAAAATGCTCAATTTGAAGAATTTTGTGAAGAACATGGTATCTCTCATAATTTTTCAGCACCTAGAACTCCACAACAAAATGGAGTAGTTGAAAGAAAGAATAGGTTTCTAGTGGAACTTGCAAGAACAATGCTTAGTGATGCAAATCTTCCTAAATATTTTTGGGCGGATGCGGTTAGTACGGCATGTTATGTTGGAAATCGAGTTATCATTAGACCTATAATAAAGAAGACTCCATGTGAACTCTTCAAAGGAAGAAAGCCAAATATTGCTCACTTTCACATTTTTGGATGCAAGTGATTTATTCTTAATAATGACAAAGATAATCTTGGTAAGTTTGACGAGAAATCCGACGAAGGTATATTTCTTGGTTATTCGCTTTCTAGTAAAGCATATAGAATTTATAATAAAAGAACTTTAACTATTGAAGAATCTATGCATGTATCTTTTGATGAAACTAACCCCTCCAAGGAGGAAGTA